GAGTTTGTTGCATGTTTAGATTCTGATCCTGCATTCAGCTTGCACAGGCATATCTTTGTGCCCATGCGGAGATATAATTACTTAAATGGGGCTTTTTGTGGGCAAATCCTTACATCTGCACAGTGCCCTGTTGAAATCAGCAGGGTGTAAGTATCTGCCTTCATGAATCCAGTTGCAGGATGGGGCCTATAGTTGTTTAGAAAATGTATGTTGTTTTTAAATAAATTAATTGAGATATCCTATCTCCTAGAACTGGAAGGGACCTTGAAAGGTCATCGAGTCCAGCCCCCTGCCTTCACTAGCAGGACCAAGTACTGATTTTTTGCCCCAACTCCCTAAGTGGCCCCCTCAAGGATTGAACTCACAACCCTGGGTTTAGTAGGTCAATGCTCAAACCACTGAGCTGTCTTCTTTTAAAAACAAAAATTAAGAGTGGTAAACCTCCTAAAGAGAGAATAATTCACTAGGAAAAAGTGATGTTTCCCAGGAATAAACATACTACTAAGGCAGGGGTGGGCAAACTACGGCTCGTGGGCTGCATCCGGCCCGCCAGCCATTTTAATCCGGTCCTCGAGCTCCCACTGGGGAGCAGGGTCTGGGGCTTGCCCTGCTCCGGCACTCCAGAAGGGGAGCAAGGTCGGGGGCCACTCCATGCGGCTCTTGGAAGCAGCAGCATGGCTCCCCTTCGGCGCTCCAGCCAGGAAACAGGGTCGGGGCTGCGCCACCAGGCTCCCAGAAGCAGCAGCATAGCCTCCCCTTCGGCTCCTATGTGTAGGGGCTTCTGCTCTGCACACTGCTCCCACCCCAACCGCCGCACCTGCAGCTCCCTTTGGCCGGGAACTGCAGCCAAGGGGAGCTGGAGGGGTGGTGCCTGCGGACGGGGCAACGTGTAGAGCCACCTGGTTGCGCCGCCGCTTAGGAGCTGAAGAAGGGACATGCCTCTGCTTCTGGGAGCTGCTTGAGGTACACACCGCCTGGAGTCTGCACCCTTGAGCCTCTCCCCTTGCCCCAGCCCTGATCCACCTCCTGCTCTCCAAACCCCTCAGTCCCAGCCCGGAGCACCCTCCTACACGCCAATCTCCTCATCCCCACCCCAGAGCCCTCTCCCCGCACCCCACTCCACAGCCCGGAGCCCCCTCCCGCACCCTGAACTCCTCAATTCTGGCCCCACCCCAAGCCTGCACCCTAACCTCAATTTTTTGAGCATTCATGGCCCGCCCTACAATTTCTATTCCCAGATGTGGCCATCGAGCCAAAAATCTGCCCACCCCTGTACTAAGGCATTTATAGCCATTATCTGCTTTCCACAGCCCATTTTGACTAATCTAAGGGCTTGTCTACACATAAACCGCTGCAGCTGCACTGCTGTAGCACTTCAGTGAAGATAATACCTACGTCAGTGGGAGGATTCTCCCATTGGCATAGGTACTCCACCTCCCAGAGAGGCGGTAACTAGGTTGACAGGATAATTCTCCCATCAACCTAGTGCTGTCTCTTCCGGGGTAAGGTAGGTTTAACTGCATCGCTTAGGGATATACCAACCTAATTTCTTAGTATAGACCAGGCCTTAGATAGACAGGATGGAGCACTCAGTGTGATAAAACACCTGTATGTTGGATCCCTGTATATAAAAACCTGCTCCTGAATTCTATCAATCTGTTCAACAGCCATGCAAAGCTTATATTCTTTATGTATTCTATGAAAATTTTGTTTATCATTTACTAATAGTAAACATCTCTGGGTGTGCTCTTTACAGCAAGAATTACAAGAAAGAGTTGAACCTCTGCAAGGTTCTCCCGTACCAAAGTGTTTCACTACCTCTTCAACAAACAGGAGAAGAATAAGTCAGATACCAGTTCAAGGCAAGTACTGGTTTTATTGTATGTATAGTTCTTTCTGTTTAGACACACTTGTCCATTAGTTTGCTAATGCATGTGTTCCTAAATTGTATCACAATTCTCGTGCAAATTTAGGATGTGTGTGAAGACCTCAGACTTTAGTAGTGCAATAACTTTCATTTAATTTTTAATAGTGCCTATTTTCATAGCTACAAGCTAACTTTAGACTATTTTAAAACACAGGTTACATATGCAACTCTGGGTGAATGAGAGCACTAAAATTGCCTTTCTTGTTACTGTCATCAGCAGACCTTGTTAGAACAAATATTAATACAAAACAACTAGAACCAGAACAAACTCAAAACAAAACTAAGCTAAATTAAATCAGTTGACCAGGCGCTGGAATAAATAAATGACCTTCATTCTCCTTTGCCATTCAGAGGCCTTGTATCTGAATCTCTGTGAGAAAACTGCTAACATGCAGTCCCCGTTTTCTGATTTTAGCTTTTTTTAATGTAATGAACCACCCTTCCACAGAAGAGATGCCTTTCCTGTATAGTAGCTGTTCCTAGTGCTCCTTCAATAATGATAGGCACCAACTGTGCAGTGTCCCACCAAATCTAATGGGGATATACGCAAACGCATGTGTTTTCACATCCTTGTAACCCTTTGTATAATAGAAGTTGAAGAATAGATAACAGGAATTCTGTCTTCTCCTCTTTCCTCACCCCTTTTTGCCAGTTTCTTCACAATATATTTCTATTGCTGTCCAGCCTTGTTTAAAATGATTTACAGGTCTTCAAACACTTCCCAAGGAGACAAGTCCACAGCTTAATAGATTTTGTTATTAGAAGCATTTTCCTGTTTGCAGTCTTTCTACCTATCCTTCATTCCATTTATCACACTAGAGTACAGCTAAGTGTTAAACTTGCAGTTCTACTTTCTCTCAACTCTCAAAAAGTTATGACAGACTGAAAATATTTCTGGCCTTGTGGCTTATTGGCCTAAAGCTCTTTAATAATTGTTCTTTGCAGCTTCTAGAAGAGGTGTCTGAGACAGGCAACACACTTTTTATTGTGATTCTAAAGATAGATTAGCAGGATATCTTCATTTAAAATTCCCTTTGCCTTTTTCCCCCCCCCCCCCGAGTGCCATCCTCTGTTGCACCTGATAAGTGATTGGGAAGGAAGGCTTTGCTTTGTTTGAAATAATTGTATTATGGGATACAAAGCAGACAGCTCCCTTCCTGTTTTTACCATGCTAATAAGTGACATTTTGCTCACCTAATTGTCCGAGCACTTTAAGAGCTAAATCTTATTCCTACTGAAGTTGATGCTACTAACTCCCATTCAAGACAGTGGCACTGGATCTGACCTGAGATTTGGGGCATATGCAGATACTTGACAGTAGTGAGCCTCCATGTCAGCTTCTGGTTCCTTGAGAACTGTTTTTCTGTACGTGACTAGGGTTGAGTGAGATGAATATATCAATGATGATTAACAGAATAAAAGGCTACCAATGCACTAAAGAAGATATGGAGTTTCTTCGACACATGAAAAACCAAGAACAAACGCAGAAATTGAAGGTAAGATTGTCTGTATTTTAGTCTCCATCTTAGAACGTAAGGATCGGTTTAGTTGTCATTTTTTTCCTAAATAAACTAGGGAGAGGGCACATGGAACTATTGGTCACTTTGTAATAGTACATGTTTTTTAATCAGAAACCAGATTCTAAACCTGTGGTATCACTTTGCTTCCACACAGTTGTGCTCTTCTTTGAGTGATTGCACATATGCATTCCACTCTTGGTGTGCTCCCCTGCCCAGTCATCGGGAATTTTTCCCTTAGGTAGCTCAAGTGCCATCTGCTGCCCCTGCGTTGTTTGTCTTGTTGTTTTTGTAGGGAGAGGTGAATAAAGCTTTAAAAATAAAGCAGTAGTGAGGATCAAATTAGAGAATTGAATTAGAATATGGGGCCTTTCGGTGGTTCAAAGCCAGTCCAAGTTGTTACCATCTAATAGCAGTTTGTAATTTGTGTGAAATAAGTTTGGTCTCTAGCCAGTGGACAGGTAGCTCACAAGACAATGTGTCCTGGTACTAATTTTACTCCTGGGGGAATTCTGCACCACTGTACAATGAAGAATTTGTGCAAAATTTCATGTTTTCCCTGCAGAATTGGGGCTGTAGTGCTGCTGGCCGGCCCGGCAGGGATGGAGCCTCTGCACTCTCTGGCTGACCGGCTTGATCCTTGTGGGCCTGGGAGACCTGGCTCTGGCAAAGGGTGAGGAAGGCCAGGGCCACACCCCGTCCCCTGGCGGGACAGAGTTTACAGAGCAGAACCTGTACCTGGGCTCTGGGAGGGAGGAGGGTATGTGTCTGGGCCGGTGGCCCCACACAGCCCTCTCCAGCACCCCCCAACTGGGATTGGGTTTGTGACGGGTTGGATCAGAAACCCCCTTGGGGTTGCCAACTGATGGGCCAAGACTACTTCTGCCCTTGCTTTCCCTGACCTCCCAGCTTGGGACTTCAGTGCCCTGCCTGGTTTGAGCCAGACCCGCTAGCCTGCTGCAAACCCAGACCTAGGTCTGAACCACGTCCCCTAACAGCTGTAGGCTTAATTGGAGCAGCTTAAGAAGTGTTCCTGTCTTTAACACTCAGATGCTCAAGTCCCAGTGGGGTCCAAACCCCAAATAAATCTGTTTTACCCTGTATAAAGCTTATACAGGGTAAACTCATAAATTGTTCCCCCTCTGTAACACTGATAGAGATGCACAGCTGAGTTCCCCCCCCCCCCCGGTATTAATACATATTCTGTGTTAATAAGTAAAAAGTGATTTTATTAAATACAGAAAGTAGGATTTAAGTGGTTCCAAGTAGTAACAGACAGAACAAAGTGAATTACCAAGCAAAATAAAATAGAACTTGCAAGTTTATGTCTAATACAGTAAGAAAACTGAATACAGATAAAAACCTCACCCTCAGAGGAATTCCAGTAAGCTTCCTTTTACAGACTAGTCTCCTTCTAGTCTGGGTCCAGCAATTGCTCACACCCCCTGTAGTTACTGTCCTTCGTTCCAGTTTCTTTCAGGTATCCTTGGAAATGGAGAGGCTATCTCTTGAGCCAGCTGAAGACAAAATGTAGGGGTCTCCCATGGGCTTAAATAGACTTTCTCTTGTGGGTGGAGACTCTCTCCTATGCAAAGTCCAGCTCCAAGATAGAGTTTTGGAGTCACCTGGGCAAGTCACATGTCCATGCATGACTTAGTTCTTACAGGCATTGTTCACATGCTACCTTGAATGTCCTCATGTAGACTTCTTATGTGGATTGGAGCCTTTCAAGATCCATTGCCCGTTAAGTGCTTCTTGATTGGGCACTTAACTTGCAAATTCCTTTCTAAAGAAGCTGACCTAAATGCTTTACTAAGGTTACTTAGAAATCAAGCAAGTACACAGCCGATATTCATAACTTCGAACACGACACATGCATACAAATAGGATGAATAGATTCAGTAGATCATAACCTTTACATAGATATGTTACATGGCATATGTAGCATAAAACATATTCCAGTTATGTCATATATACATTCATAAACATATTTCCATAAAGGCTTATGGGGTGCAATGTCACAGGGTTGTCATAGGGGTTTCATTAAGTCTCTACTCCTGAGGGAATCATTTTTGTTGTCTGCATTGTTGACATACTTGCTGACAGGCATTTGAAATAAATTACCAAAATAATTGAAACTGGTGTGATTATATTGTGTTACTTTGACGAATAAAATTTGCAGAATTTTAAAATATTGTGCACAGAATTTTTAAGTTTTTGGCACAGAATTCTCCTAGGAGTATGATTTGCACCCTTGTTAGTAGTCTCAGAAAAGAGGCCAAAGATTAAATGCGCACCCTTTTATCCCCCATGCTGATCCCCGTGTGTCAGAACTGAAGCAAATTAGCAGGGCACTTGGGGAAGCTTGCACTGCTGGTGCTCCATCTGTAATGGAGGTCTCCAGGGCTGTCGGTCTGGTGAGAGAATAAGTTTGGGAAAGAGCATAAACAACGAACTGGTTATAAACTGCTTGATCAATGTCTGCAGGATTGAGGTTATAGTAAGAGTATGAACCTATTGACTTAGTATGGGCATAAGTAGGGACCGTGTTTTCTGGAAATTGCTCCTATTGCTGCGTTTTTTCCAAAATGACTCTTCATTTCTAGAATCGGTGATCAGAGGGAGGTGGGGCATGCAGGGTCACCGCTCCACCCCCTTCCAGACTTCTGCCTGGAGACACCTGGTTCATCCCCAAGGCGCAGGGCAGAGCCTGCGGTAGATCTGACACGTGGGTGGGGCATACAGGGTCATGTGCTCCCCTCACCCCCCGATTTCTGCCTAGAGACACCTAACACATCCCCAGGGCAGAGGCTGGGGGCTGGCTGCTGTTGAGCCTTGCTGCCAACTTTTCCCCCTCCTCCCAGCATACAGCTGGCTCTAGGTTTTCAGTGCCCAACATCTGTCCACCACCTATCCTGCACAGCTGACGCCTGCTCCCTTCCCCCAGCACACAGCTGGTCTGGCTCCAGCCCTCAGTGTCTGTCTCCCACCTCCCCTGCATACAGCTGGCCTGGCTCTAGCGCTCAGTACTCAGAATCTGTCCCCCACTCCCCCTGCACAGCTGGCTGTAGCACTCAGTATTACAACACACAACAATATTTTTTGTATGAATATAATGCATATCCAAAATATACATCATATTTTAATTGCTGGAAAACCCTGGCCCTAGTCATAACTCTGCTAATAGTGGGCTTTTTGCACTCTATCACACAGACTATTCACTGTAACATTTGGGTTTAAATAATTAAAATAATATGGAATACCTTGCCAACTAATTTTCTATTGAAAGCACTTGTGAACCTAATGGCTTGAAAAGCTAGAAGGCTGGAATAGAATTCAAAGGGTCATTTTGTCTGTAACCAAATAGTATAGTGTTTGTACAGTAACACAAAAATAAAGCTTGTAATTTACATGACTTAATAAAAATGCCATCCTAGGGTGAGAGAGGCTGATGAAGAATAACTCTATAAATGTGTATAACAGTATAAGCAAAGTCATGTGCAATACCGACTGATGAGGAACCAGCTCCAGTAGTTTCTGATTTTAATTTCGCATGGTGGTTTGGGTTTTGTTTTGTTTTTAATGAATCACAAATGTTCCTAGAAAACGAGGCTGCTCTATTTTTGCATGCTCCAGATTTTTTTAAAATTAATTTTTCATGAGCTGGAAATGCTTTCTATTTTTATATAGTACTAAAAGAAATTGTGTGTGTGTGATACTAAGATGAAAACTTCTTTTACAGGCAAAATATTTACATCTACAAAAGCAACTAACCAGCATGGTTCAGACAAAGGAGCTGCTACTAGCACAGAGAGAGAGAGTGCAAGAAGAGATTGTACAAATGGTAACTGGTCCACAACATATAAACTACAATGCAAGATTAATGCTGCCCATTTTTTTGTTTCCTTCAGTTCAAGTAATAGTTTTTTTTTTTTTTATATCAACTACAGTAACTCCTCACTTAGTCGTCCCGGTTAACGTTGTTTCGTTGTTATGTTGCTGATCAATTAGGGAACAGGCTCGTTTAAAGTTGCGCAGTGCTCCCTTAGAACATTGTTTGGCAGCCGCCTGCTTTGTCCACTGCTTGCAGGAAGAGCAGCCCGTTGGAGCTAGCTGGTGGGGGCTTGGAACCAGGGTGGACCAGCAGCTCCCTGCTCCCCATAGTTCCCTGTGCAGCAGCCGCCCAGCAGGCTACCAATTGCCAGTAGTTCAGCTGTCCCTGCCCCCACTACCATGTGCTGCTCCTGCCCCCTGCCTTGGAGCTGCTCCCGGGAGCCTCCTGCTTGCTGTGCAGGGGAGGGGGAAAGAAGGGGGCTAATGTCAGGGTGTCCCCCCCTCCCTATTCCTGCTCCCTGCTTACCCCTTCTCCATATAGAGCAGGGTGGGGACAGGACAGGGCTCAGGATGGAGAGAGCTTGCTGGCCATAGCTGCTGTCTCGACTTCCTGATTTTTTTAAAGACAAGTACGCTGACCTCACTAAGTACATTAAAGGGGAAATGCACATCTCTCTCTCTCTCATACAGGGTGTGTCTCTGTCTCTCTCTGCCATGCTGTCTCCCCTCCCTCCATTCATGCTGCCTTGTAGAGTGTGAGGCTACATTAACAACAATGTGTTAACCCTTGAGGGCTCAGCCGAGCGCTAGTTCATCATTTAGCAGTAAGGCATTCCCTGGGAAATATCCCACCCTCTTCCACCGTCTGACTTCACCACCTCAACCAAGCTTCACAATCATCATTGCTGTGTACAGTATTAAATTGTTTGTTTAAAACTTATTGTGTGTGTGTGTGTGTGTGTGTGTGTGATTTTTTGTCTGGTGAAAAAAATTTCCCTGGAACCTAACCCTTCCCCTCCCCTCCCCTATGTACATTAATTCTTATGGGGAAATTGGATTAGCTTAACATCGTTTCACTTAAAGGCACATTTTTCAGGAACATAACTACAACGTTAAGCGAGGAGTTACTGTAGATAAGCCTTGTGATTTAATGTTCTCTATTCCCAGAGTATCTTCCTATGTGTGCAGGGGTGGGAGTTTCTTGTGGTACTGAATAGCAACCTATAGAAAACAAGCAGCAGCACTGACAGTTCTCTAGAGAGTGGTTATGATTCAGGGACCCTAAAAGGAGTTGTGGCTTAAAGGATATGAAAAACTTTTGGGTAGGTGTGTTGTGATCTTTGTATTTCATAAGTTATGCAGCATCATGCTGGATCAGAACTTAGATATGGGAAGTCTTCCAGAAATACCTGGATGATGCAGGAAGTAGTGTTACTGATTCAGAAGTGACACTCTTCTTCTGAATTGGTTGCTATTGAACCAATGACAAAGCATGGTGCTAGTGACCTTTATGCTGGTGGAGATGCTGCTTTTCAGATAAGACATTATAACAAAACCTGACCATTTGTGGTCATTAAAAATCTCCTGACTCTCTTTACACCAGTAGGAGTATTAGCTTAGTTCCTGACCAACTTCTAATTTTAGTAACTTTTCCCCTAAACAGTTAAGGAGTGCTGCAGTTAAACTGGTGCTATATTTCACTCCAGAGGTGGGCGAGGAGATATCCAGCCTTCGCCTACTTCATAAAAGTGGTATGAGGCTTTAGCCAATTAACATCTATAAAGCATTTTGTGTAAAAAGTCCTGCTAATTCCTTGTTCTTAATGCATTTTTGTAAATCAGGTAAGATTGTGTACAGTAATACAAAACATCTGTTTGAGTTTACCCTAAGCGGTTATGAAACAAGCCTACATAATGGCTTGGATTAGACCTATTAGTATGAGTTTTCATGGAGTGTTTTACTCTACCAGTATCTTTTGACCAAGAATATATATCTGTATTCTAACATGAAACCTGTTGACTTGTGCAATAACTTTTTCATTTGATTTTTTTGCTGTTAATGAAACACTGGCTTTCTGCCTTCACTTCAGAAAACATCTTATGATAGAACAGTCCAATTTGGAAGAGCCTTCCTGGGTAAGAAAATGGATCCTGCCGCTGTCGAAGCATTGCCACCAAAAGCTGTGCTTGGGCAGCTGAATCCTGTGAAAGTGCAGCATGTTCAACAGCAAGAGAAGGCTGAACTTCAGGCACTTACAAAAGAGCTAAAGAAGTTAAAACATTCCATTGCCCAACTGCCTCAGAAACAGGGAATAAGGTAGAGGAAACCAACAGGTTTAGAGAATTTTCTGGAGGGGGGTGGAATCTTTTTCTAACTTATACACTTAAGTGCAACTTTGTGCTGTATAAACACACCGTGACTAGCGTAGAACTGTGGCATAATGGTAGGCTGAAACTTAAAGCTACAGCTTCCCTTTCCTGTGGGGGGGGACCGGGAAGCTTAACATAAGAGGGGCCATAGTAGGTCAGACCAAAGGTCCATCTACCCCAGTATCCTGTCTTCTGACAGTGGCCAATGCCCCAGAGGGAACGAACAGAACAGGCAATCATCAAGTGATCCATCCCCTGTTGCTCATTCCCAGCTTCTGGCAAACAGAGGCTAGGGACACCATTCCTGCCCATCCTGGCTAATAGCCATTGATGGACCTATCCTCCATGAACTTATCTAGTTCTTTTTTGAACCCTGTTAGTCATGGCCTTCACAAAATCCCCCGTCAGAGTTTTCCACAGATTGACTGTGCATTGTGTGCAGAAATAGTTCCTTTTGCATAATTTGTCTATCTCCATATTGAATTGATGTCTGAACAGTCCTAACATCTTGTCCATTCAGTGGTGGGGGGAGTTTAGCAGCTGTTAGTGTATGCTTTATACTGGAAGATAGGAAATGTCACAAGGCTATATTTGTTTTTTTTTTTTTAAAGTGTTTCTTTTTCTGTCACAAATACAAAACATTAGGGGCCAAATTGTAGGTGCAAGCAAGTTGCTGCATAAACTCCCATTGATTTCACTGTGCCTGTCTCAGAAGAGGTTGCCCAGTTGTTGAGCCCTTGGAATACCTAATTTCACATAACTGCATGCTCAGTTAATGTGCATATTCAAGCAGTCCTCCCAAGGCTCTGCTCAAGAGTTGAATGGCATTGCATTTACTTAAACTTTTGCCAGTAACTCAAATAGCCATTGTTTGGACTGATCTGAGTTCCATGTCCAGTGCTAACTGGAATTACATCTGGTCTCTAAAAGTGAACATGATCTTTGTGCATAACTCCCTTTGACAGTGGTGGCAAGCATGCAGGGTCTGGTTGAGCATACTGACTGCACTAAATGGCCTTTGAACCTTATCTAAGAAGCAGTTTGCCTGGTCTTATAGCTGCTGGTTAAGCTGCATTGATTTCGTTGTGGCTTAAAACCACTGATATATTTGGATCAACCCAAAAAAACTCATTTACTTCTTTAAAGGGTTTAGCCGTAAGCTCAGGTACAATACAAATTCTTAAATGAACTAAATCATTCCCTTTTCATCCTTGTCCTCTTGCATGTCAACACCAATTAATTTAGAAGGCTGTAATTCCATAAAGGTGTTCTGATAATCAGATAGAGGGAGCATAGTAGGGAAATGTTAATGTGTTTGTCTTCCAGGCTGGAAAGAGAGTCTTGTAAACAACGGATACAGGAAGCGAAACACAGCCTACTGCAAGCACAAGTAAGTTCTGTTATCTTACTGCCTATAACCCATCTTGTACAACCCCTCCTCCTAGTAAGTCCCTTGTCTTTCTAGAACACTGTGTGCAGAACTTTAAAGAAATAGAATCTGGGATACAAGGCCAGTGTATGGAACGGTTTTGGGTGTAAGATAATGAGGGGGCAATGGGAGTGCAGAAACAAGTGGGTTTATGAAGAAAAGATGAGGCTTGGTCCATAGAAAGTGGGTGACTCTACTTACCAGTGGCATGATAAAAGGTGTAAGGATTGAAGACCCGTTTCTCCATTCACTATTTCAAAACGTGCAGGTTAAGACTACTGCTTTTTGTAAGGGATGAGGGTAAAACTGCTTACTCCAGGTAAGTGCAAGTCTTTTACACAGTTTTCAAGAATGTTCTGGTTAAAAAATAAATATGATCATATTTGGGTAGCTCAGACCAAGCTGCAGCACCTATAGTTGCTAGTTTGTGGGGGAGCCTCAACCTAGAATTGTAGAGGAAAGCTTTGAGGCTGACAGTGGTGACAAGGAAAACTAAGTTATGGATTGGTAGCAAATTTGGTTGAAATTTTTCTTCTGCCTGAAAAACCTTTTCACTCATCTCTGCAGAGATGAGTAATCTAGTGGTGCAGATCATTTGTGGCCTGTGACTACACTGTAAGCACTTCATGGTGTCATTCTATTTACTTTTCAGTGACTGCAGAAGGTACCAAGAAAACTGTGTCTACAACATGGCTTTTCCATCCCTTCACAGGCAGTGGGGTGTGGCTATTTGAAATTCCAATAATGGCTGGGTGCTCCCTTTCAAAACTCCTTTTGGTATTTAATCTGTAGAAATGCTAGTATGTTTCTGCCTCACGCCATTCCGACGAGCTGCTGTACTCTGTCAATGGGATTATCCACCTAGAGTGTACTTGAAAACTGTTGTATTTTTTTATTTTTACCAGGAAGATGTGGAGAATCTGAAATGCAAAGTTGAAGCAGCACAGTCAAAACTAGCAGAAGTTCAGGTCAGTCAGGCATAAGGGTGCAATGGTTTGGTGGAGGTGGGGTTGTGGAGTAGTAAAGAACGGTCATCGCATGCTTTAACCATTGGCCTACACTGCAAGGTGAATGCTATGCACATACATTTTTTTTAGAGTGAACTCACCCTAAATCTAGGTGCTCAGATACCAGTGTGGTGGGTGCAGTAATAGTAACTATAGTCTGAGCTTTTCTATTATTCTGCTGTGCACACTCTCCCCCCATGTCACTTGGCAGGCTATTCCCTTGGGACTTTTTCAGTGATCCTAAACTGGATGTATATTGATAAAACTTTGCTATGCTACATAGTCAAGCTAAGTAAAAAAGGTAAAGTTACCTTTAGCAGTTGCAGTACTAGTTAATATCCCCAATATTTAGTATAAGAGAATGTATATGATAGTGATGTAAAGTCTAATTACAAAGTAATTGTCAACTTCAAGTGTGATTGCTTTGGAGTGGCAGCAGGCTCACCATCCTTCCATCTGGCTCATTAAGTAAGGGATTGAGGCTAGGTTGAAGTGCACATACAATTACTAACATTAGCATCCTGGACCAGTTTGCATGGTATCTGTGTAGTTATGATAGAGAAGTCTCACTTCAAAGAAAACCCTCCAATCAACTGTCAAATTACCTTGGTTACTAGTGCTTAAATATGAGTCATGTCTGCTGCCCCAGAGAAGGTTCTGAAATACCCAAAGAAGGCAAATATGAACAGTGTAGACTCTGTATCTGCTAGTCCAGCCGTATCTATAATTTTAGATAATATGTATGTATTCTCCTTTTTAGGAACACCTGTGTAATACAAGAGTTGAAATAGAGAAGTGGCACACGTTGAAAGAGAAGACAACTGTTTCTCAGTCACTGGAGAATGCCCAAGATTCTGTCAATGATTATCTTAAGAGAAGACTTAACAGAATCTTGCGAAGAACAGATATCTTTTTAGAAAGGGAAAAAATAATTGAAAGACTTAGTCTTTTGCAATGAGCCCCCCTGCCCCCTTTGCAAAAATCTGATCACTAGGTCAAAGAGGCTTTTAGGGTTGCCACTGTATGTACAGATCTCTCCCTGTTGGGCATCTTAGTTTTCCAAATTCTATAACCTGTCTGAAAGTAGTGCAGATTTGTTCACACTAACAGTTAAGATGTAGCCAGAATCATGAAGATAAAATTTGGGGTTAATGGCTATTTAGTCATGTACGTGAAAGTTGATTTTTAAATGTAAATACAGGTTTGTTCTTTGGTACTATTTTCAGGTAAGGAAACGCTAAGGTGCTCAAATCACTGGGTCTGAAACAGTTAATCATAGTGATCTAGGAGGAGGCATTAAAACCATTAGGAATTTTGCACACTGGAAGGAGGCACTTGAGTTGAGTGTTTAAGTTAAATTATTCAATAAAATATATTTTGATTAATACCTAGGAATTAATTTTAGACACAGTGACACCAGGATTATTATAGTTAAGATGGGCAGTGCTTTGTAATCACCCATCGTGTACAATGGTACAGGGGGAAAAAGCCTTCCCCTAAACTATTTTTGATTACTTGTTTTAAAGTAGGTGCTAATGCCCCACAGCAGGATTTCTAAATGAAGTTAATTACATTCAGCATATTAAAATACAGTTTCTATTAGTAAGAGAGAGTTTGTCTTAAATGTACACACATATCACCTGACACAGAATTATCTAAACTGGCATCAGCCTCCTCGTGTATCATGGAAGAACTAGATGCACCAAAAAGTAAATACATGTAGTCTCAATAGGATAGGTCAGGGGTTGGCACCCTTTCAGAAGTGGTGTGCCAAGTCTTCATTTATTCACTCTAATTTAAGGTTTTGTGTGCCAGTAAAATATTTTAATGTTTTTAGAAGGTCTCTTTCTGTAAATCTATAAACTATTGTTATATGTAAAGTAAATAAGGTTTTTAAAATGTTTAAGAAGCTTCATTTAAAATTAAATAAAAACGCAGAGCCTCACAGCCAGTGGCCAGGACTGGGCCAGTGTGAGTGCCACTGAAAATCAGCTCGCATGCTGCCTTTGGCACGTGTGGCATAGGTTGTCTGCCCCTGGGGTAGATGCTACAATAGCATCCTTGACTCCTACAAAGAATGGAGGAAAGAGCAACTTAAGTGTAGGCCAGAAATAGTGTAACAGACTCCCAGATTTGGTTTAAGGGAGCTAAAAATGAATCTACCATACAAAAGCAGTATGCAAGCCATTCTAGTATTATTAGATTTAGTACTAGTGTCAAGAAAGACAAGGAGACACACTACTCATATCAGTCTAGAATTTTCTTATGATTTCTACACAATCATTCCTGAGCAAGATACATATGTACAATTTATTCAAAATACATAAAAATCTCACTATCTATACAATCTAAAGTCTAGCAAGATATACAAATACAGAGTAACTACAGTACAGGCTGAGGTAAGAAAGTACATTCTGGGAGAACAGAACAGCCATTTTCATATTATGATTTTTTGTATCCATTATTGCTATAGAATAAAGAACCCCTCAGTGTACCTCTGGTTTTACTGTACATGGGACAATGCCACATGTAGTTATGCATCTTACATTCAGTTAAAATCTACAATGCAGGCCATTAGCTCAAGTTTGATGCTGAACTATATGTTAGGCACGTAATCCTGGCATGGTAAAAATGACTAAAATAAACATGTTTAATTTGAGCAGATGTACATTAGCGACATTTCATGCAAGAGGCACAGAGTAAAAAAAAATTTTAAAGTGGCAAAATCAACTTAAAGTGAGCTTTTGTAAACCTGGAAAGAGAATTATAAAATTTTGGCTTTTTTTTTTTTAAAGAAGTCCTGATTTTTAAGACAAACAGTAACAGCCTCATCAACTGTATTGTTCTATAAACAAACTCTTACTGCATTGGAGGGATTTGGCTTCTAGATGTTTTTCTACTGAAATTCTGATCTGCCTTAAAAACAAGTGAATTTATTCAAAGGCACTCATTTCTTATGTGCTATGGCTGGGGTACAGATAGATGTTAGACCCCGCTTTCATACAGCAGCTGGTAAAGCAAATCTTTACTTTTTTCCCTGCAACACTCTCAAGTTATTGTGAAATAAGCTCTGCTAAGCCATTTCTTTTGGCTAAAGCTTTGATATCAATTTTGACAATTCACTAGTTAAATTTATTTCAAAGCGCTGATGTGCGCAGATTGCCCGTAGGTAGCACTACATTTTTTTTTAAATCCAGAATAAGTTTGTCATACACATTTACCAGCTCGTGTCTCCAAACTTCTAGTTTTCTTTAAACAAATAAATACATTTAGGAAAATACCACAGATAAAATTCCCACAACTGGTGATTGTTCTAACAAATATTTATGTAATCCTTTCATTAAACAATGGACTAGTACAAATAAGTATTGGGGCTAGTAATTGAAAGTTTTATCGGAAGGCTGAGGCTTGTAGGCCACTGAGACATAAAATATTCACATTTAGAGGCCAATCCTACAAAACTTTATTTTCATCAGTACTAGTCGTAAGAGTTTGCAGGATCAGGCCTTAAAACACAGTGCACATAATTCCAAATGGTTACTATCACAAATGTGATTAGTCTTAGTACCTCAGTAACAGAAGAAAAATAAGTTATGCATCACATTTTTGTAAAAACTCAGTATCAAGGGAAAAGGCAGAGTAAATCTTTCCAATTTGCAGCAAGAATGAAGTAAGATACTAGTAAATAAATTTTTTTAACATTTGGGATTGGCACAGTCACCTTTACCAGCATTAGTTTATATCTATATTTAGTTGTACATCCAATTATATAGGCCCTGGACAAAAAACAAGGCTCATTTGAATCATGTATCAATAGAAAAGTCCATAAAACTGGGCTACTCTGTATGCAAGGATGTCACATTTATAAATTTTTTCAGTATCCTCCCAACAGTGCCATTATACTATTAAAAAAAAATAAAGCTATTTAAAGAAGTTTTTCACTACTCACCAGTATTTGTTTAATCAAAACAAGCTATGCTTTGTTTCTACAAGATAAATGTCTAAGTGATTAAAACAATTTGGTGGTGGTGTATTTTTTTAAACAGCATCCAGAGAAATTTTCATTTGGCAAGATTAAACCAAGCTATGGAGCTTTCTATCTCCATTTCTCTTAATATGAAATTCAGCACAGCTTTAATTCTAAAATAAAAACACTGCAGGGACAGTTGAAACAATCAAGTATATGATGAATCCAATGGGTTACATAGTAGCTTCTAAACGGTTGCACACTTTAAAACAAATCTCAATTTGTTTGTTAAGACTTGGTTATTTTCACCCTTCATTCTAGACATGAGCAGTTATGTTTACAAGTCCAGAGGACCAAATTTTCAAATGCACCTGTGCCAAAATGTACCCGCAACTCCCCTGAAGTGTAGTGTTTGTGTAAACAAACTGTTGTGTCTATGCACAAACTCCAACTTTCATGCAGTCGTCATTTTATTCATGTGCTTACGCTGGGCATTTTTGTGCATGAGCTTGAAAACCTGTCCCTTAATCTTAAAAGCTCTCAGCAGTACTTGCCTACTAATTTAAACCAGTACAAGTTCTTTAAAAAAAAAAAAAAAAAAAAAGAGTCACTCTTCTAGACCTGCAATTTCCTCAAAGAATGACCAGGTTTTCAGCCTCATTGCAGAGGCAATTGGGAACCTCGGAGGATTCAAATTAGGATAATTCAGTAGTCTCACTTACTAGGGATAAATTCCCAAGTAACAATTGTTAAGGACACTGATCACACTGTAGTCTTTGTTTAGAAAAGAGTCTGACCACACAATGAAATAGTACAGAGAAATTATCCCTAGAAAAGACAGGGGTGAGGTTCTGTGGCCTGCAATGTGCAGGTGGTCAGACTATGTGATCTTGATGGTCCCTTCTGACCTTAAAGTCAACGAGACTTGAGAAGATGTGGTAAAGGTAACAACTTACATTACAAAGCTAACAGATGTTGGGGTTTAGTTTTTTTTAAAAGGAAGCTAAGAACAGTAGAAAAATTGTTTCCTCCAAAGTAGCTCACCTTAGAGATTTCCAGCAACTCCGGATTGCCGATCCCACAAAGAAAAGGTGGAACACTTGTACTCATTCAAGCTCGATCCTGCTTCCGATGAAGTCAGTGGGAGTTTTGTCCTAGAGTTCAGTTACAGCAGGAGCAGTCCCAGAAATATCAAGAGTTTTTGAAGTTCTCTTTGGGGAAACTAGATGTTGGGTTGCATGTGGATTTCAGAAATGTTAAAGCTTTTTGGTATTTCAGGAACCGTATCTTCAGCCAGGTCTAAATTATTGGCTCTCAGGCTATAGCAATGTATCTCTCCTCTCCATGCAGCGTGACTATCAATTGCTGAAGTTCATCTTAGGGAACTCCTCTCTCTCTCTCTCTCATGTACAGTAGTAAACTGGGTGTCCATGATTTCTGAACAGCAACAAATAAATCATATGTATATACCCTCAAAGAAATGGCAGGATTGTTAGTTTCCTGGACCTCCGATATCACATCACATTTTTGTTCAACTCCATGTTACTACAACTTACAATACAAAAAAAATTCAATGTGATTCAAAACTGACATTTTAATATAGTCACCTTCAAAGAATTTTGTTTTAAGAATTCACATTTGCCACCCCCTAGCTCATTCATGACTTACCTCAGTTCTCAACTTCCTGTGAAATGTGGCATGCTCTGTGGTACCTGGTACACCAATTCAACTGAGGAATCCGGTCCAGGCATCCCCTTTGGTGTATCATACAGGGCATGTGCAGATGATGAGCTATCTGTCCTAGCTAAGAGTTTATTGCAAGTTCCCACTATGGGAGGGGCTTGGTTCCCTGTAGCCTTGAAAGTAGAAATAGAAGAAACACCAAGAGGTGCAGTGGGATGACCTGACATGTCCATGATTATTGGGGTTGCATATTCTGGTCCAGTGACAGGCAATGGTTCAGCGTAAGCATGATAAACTTCTTGTACAGGTGAGTTGTAAGGATCCACATCAGCATAGCTTGCTTCTTTTCCCTCTTCTGGTTTAAAGGTTGATCTCTGATGAAGTGTGCCAACGATTCCCCCTACCAGTGGTTGAGCATACT